GCTCAAGTGATTCTTCTGCCTCAGCCTCCTGAGTAGCTGGGATTATGGGCATGTGCCACTGTGCCTGGCTGGTATAAATAAATGTGTTATGTGATTTTGGCTACGAAGAAAAGCATAGAAGCAGAATGGTATGAGGCGCTGCATTGGGCAAGTTAGTGTGGAAAGGCCTCTCTGAGAAGGGGTGACATTTGAGCCAAGACCGAAATGAAGAAAGGAGGGGTCACATAATGTCAGTGACAAGATTCCATCTCAGGTCTGTCTGAGCTATCCTATTATCTGTTCTGTGATAATTGCAGGAAATCTCCTACTTTAGTACATAACATGTATCTGAAAATTAGAGAGCCAAAAGTAAAATAAGGCATGATTAAAATTTATGCAGAAACTGCCTCTCTCTCACCCAGGCAACCTAGAGACCAGAACTGCTATTGCGTCTCAGGTGCCATAGGACAGGAAGCCAAGGTATCTACTTAACAAATTACGTCAAAAGTTTGTGACTTAAAACAACAATAAGCATTTATCATTTCCCACAGTTTCTTTTCTTTTTTCTTTTTTTGAGACAGAGTCTTGCTCTGTTGCCCTGGGTGGAGTGCAGTGGTGTCATCCTAGCTCACAGCAACCTCAAACTCCCGGGCTCAAGCGATCCTCCTGCCTCAGCCTCCCAAGCATCTGGGACTATGGGTGCACACCACAACGCCCTGCTAATCTTTCTATTTTTAGTAGAAATGGGGTCTCGCTTTTGCTCAGGCTGGTCTTGACCTCCTGAGCTCAAGCAATCCTCCTTCCTTTGCCTCCCTACATGCTAGGATTATAGGCGTGAGCCTCTCACACCAGCCTCTTACAATTTCTTTAGGTCAAGAATTCAGGCAAGGCACAGTGGCGATGGCTTATCTCTACTCCACAGTGTCTAGAGCAGTGGTTCTGAACTAGGGGCAATTTTTACCCCTGCCTCCCCCAGGGACATTTGGCAATGTCTGGTGATATTTATGGTTGTTACAACTTGGAAGTTGCTGCTGGCGTCTAGAGGGTAGAGGCCAGGGATGCTGCTAAACATCCCACGATGCACAGGAGACCCCTACACACACACAACGAAGAATTATCTGGTCCAGAATTTCAACAGTGCTGAGGTTGAGAAATGCTAGTCTAGGGCGTCTCTTGGAAAACTTGAAGGCTGTGAGCCAGAATCATCTGAATTCTTGTTCACGCATGTGTCTGGCAATTGGTATGGGGGTTGTCAAGCAGAATACCCATGAGTGACCCCTTCATGTGACCTGGGCTTCCTTGTCACATGGTGGCTGGGTTCCAAGGGCAAAAGTCAAGAGAGAAAGAGCATGCACACATGAGTCAGGGGTGGAAGTCATACTGCCTTTTATGACCTAGGCTACCACTTCTTGTTCTGTTGGTTCAAGAAGTCAGAGTCCCATCCAGATGCAAGGAGTTGAGAAATAGACTGCACATCTTTATGGAAAGTAGAAGGGATTCTAGAAGAACATGCAAGGCTGCAAAGGTTGCCGCAGCCAGTTTTGGAAGATACAATCCACCAAACACCAAGTGAATCGCTTTCCCATCCCATAAAAGTTAAGGAGTCAACTTAGCTGGGTGACCCTCACCCTTGTGCGTGACTGTGCTAGTGTCGTGGTTTATTGCTGCTGTTCTCTTTGTCCTATGTGGGAAGAAGGGACAGTAAGAAAAGAGTGGAGATGAGGAGCAGGAGTAGGAGGGGAGGTGGGTTTGTGGAAACCATGGAGGCATCGTGCTCTGGCCCTGCACAAGCAGCAGTTCTTGGGTTGGCCGTGGGCTCGAGTTGGCAAGGAGGCACTCCATTTGACAGATGACTCTGCCGTAGGTCGGCCCAGCACCATGATGGGGATCTGTGAAAGACTGAATCCAGTCTACAAAAGCTAGCTAAGGTTTACCATGTGCTAAAGTGAGTCCAATAAAAACCCAATGTTTGGAAGCCAAGGACCGTCTGTAGAACACCCCCTTGTTGTCACGCAGAATGAGTGACCTCTTCATGTGTCCTGGGCTTCCTCATAACATAGTAGCTGGGTTCCAAGGGCAAAGGTTCCCAGGACAACCTTGGTCACTTTCAGACATGGGTATATAATGTACAGGGGACTGTTAACTAAATGTTTTGGCTTAAATGTCAAGTGTTTTTATTAATA